TTAAGATAGCAGAAACACAGGTCGTACGGCTAAAAGGAAAGACCTAACAAAGAAATAGCGGGAAAAGATGAAGCGCTGAAATTAAAACAAAAAAATTCTGCATTAAATATACGACAAAAATCGAAAAATTGTGCAAAATACAAATAATAAATGATGGAAATAAATGCTTAATTTATCAATATACGCAGAAGGATTACATAACTTGGAATGCACAAAATCGAAAACAGACTGATTAGAAATTCGATGAAAAATTCAGCAGAGCCTGGATTTTGATGACCAAAAAATCACTGAAAATGCCCTTAAAAAATGGCGGAAAATGCATGGGAAGCTTAAAGAATCGAGAAAATGTCCTTAAAAAATAAAAAAGTCCCCACAAATAAAAAATATTGACGCAATTGACAAATGGATTAAAATCCTAACAATTACTCATACCTATCACCTGAATTTTCTTTTTCCTCCGAGATTTTAACCTTACACAAATTTATTACAATTGCATTGAATGATTAACTGCTTCTATACGTTTTCGAAAATGAAAGATCTTGCGTTGTCAGTATATAAGTTTCTATATCGTGAAAAGCTTCGCTCGACGTCTACTGCAGCTATTGCCGCATACTTGGGAGGGAGGGGGGATACATCACATATCGTTAACCCTCCTTTAGTTTCGAAAGAATTTGTTGTTGTTGTTGTTAATACTCAGTTGTCTGACCTATAGTCAGCTTAAGCGCACGAAATTCCTCAGGGCAAGTTTACGCCTGTCGTTGGCAACAGCCTTGAGCACTTTACAGGTGATCGTGCAATTTAACTCAGTTCCGCCCCCAACTTTGATGGACAGCATCCCGGGAGGGACGGGTCCGAGGGTCTCCCACCCCTCTTCCCCAACATCAATTTGAGAAGACTTTCGGCTCGCAACATATTCTCGTTTCCCACCTACGTTCCGTGCCGGAAAGAGTTTTCAGGATTAAGATTTATGCAAATAAGGTAGAAATGAGTATTTACTGAGTTTCTTCCCTTCTGCCTTTCGGTCACGCTGTTGCTATTAGATTCTACAGCCATACTTCATACGTGTCTAATATGAATGAAATGTCTGTAATTTCATTCATAGCAGGCACGCCTAAATGCATAGGTCGGTGATCTAATGTATACGTCTAGGATCCTTAAAGAAGGGTATATTATATGAGTTGATTCTCTATAGCTTCTTATGATTAATTCTATTTAGTATTAGTTTTGTATATTCTGTTTTGAGGTGAAACCCAAGTGGAGGCTTCTTGTACTCTTGAGAGGAGCCACCCCTGTTAACTCATTTGGACTTAAAATAAAGGGTAATTTTAACCCTTCTTTGGACGTGTGCCTAACGTTAAAAGAACTTACCGAATAGTCACTACGTAATTCTTTAGTTTCAATGCCCTAAATGAGAATTAATGCTCTAAATTAATCAATGTTGGCGACCATTTTGAACTTTTCTAAAATTTTTAAATGAAAATTTTTACTTCTTGCATGCTTTGCCCTTACGCACTACACGGAAACGGAGGGATGACGCTGTAGAGGTCTTTTATTAAGGGAAACTGGCTCTTATTCCACATGGGGAAAACTACGAAAACGCCCATGCAGCCACCTCGTTCGCCGGGACTCGAAGCCCAGTCCGAACTACCAGTGTTCAGCGGTTTTTCCTGCTCGGCCGTTGAAAAAATTGGTACGCCTGTTACACAAGGGCTTCATTAGGATGCGATTTCTCAACGATTGCCGCGGTTTTGGTAATATACTGAGATGACTCTTGATTTCAGCAGCAGAAATGGGTCCAGCATTTCCCTCTCCTTTCCCTCAAGAAATTTTCTCTTCGACCATGTTCTGTTGCTTCCGGTCGAGCTGCTGAAGCTTTTTCGGTATCAGCTAAGTCCTGCCATCGTCCACTAATTTGCTGACATCCTATTCGCTGAATCGAAATCCATGGACTTACCCAAAAGGTAAGACGGCTTTCGAGGCTCTTTCCAGCAATACATTCAGACCAAAGACATTTCCAAGTAAATTTCGCTGTCCTCAGACAAACTTCTTTCCACGTTTTCTCGATGATTCTGAGGATCCTGTAGTTATCCTTCCAGAAGTTTCCGTAGGTCAGTTCCATTTCATTTGCATTTTCAAAACATTTCTTGAACACAGCTTTTGTACAAATGTTTGAAATTCGAGATCACTGGTTTGTCCTTGCGCGGAATAAGAGGAATGGTGTTAAGGGCCCAATATTTTAGCTTAGCTACATTCGCCACCAAAGCATCTACTAAGCTCGAAGGATAAGCAATAGTATTGCACAGGACACGCACAGCCATTGTAGCTACATTCGCCACCAAAGCATCTACTAAGCTCGAAGGATAAGCAATAGTATTGCACAGGACACGCACAGCCATTGTCGAGAGACTTTCCTCTTGTAGATAGATTTTTAATGAAGGACCAAAGTACTCGTGTGCCCATTCAGTGAAGATTAGCCTAGCAATCAATTTCTCATTCGATCTCCATGAAATCTTACGTTTACTCTTAATGATGTTGTTGTTCTTCAAGATTCATGGATTCTCTGAATGATACACGAACAGACGTTTGATCTTGCAGGCCCCACTAGCATTATCACACAGCAAGAGAATACATGAATATTTCATTGGCTTATGTGACCTGGGACATAATTATTTCTTCCTTTGAGATGCACACTCGTCTGCGCATCCTTTTTCAAAAGACACTTCTTTTGTCACAACTGACCATTTAATTCAAAGCAATTCCCTCACTGTTCACTACTCCTTAAATCCCTTTACAAATCCTTCAGCTGCTCTTAATTAAAACTGGCAGTTTCTCAGCGCATAAAAACACTAAGAATATCAATTCTTTTGTTAAATTTCTCAAACTATCCCCCACTGGCTTATAATTCCTCCTTTTGAACACTAGTATCAGGTAGACCTTTCATAAACCATCATGACAGACCTTGGCTTTCTCACAAATTAGCATCTCAGAAATCACACTAGCAGCAAGCTGTTTTTCATTAATTCAAAAGGGAGAGGAATTTCATCTCTTCTATACAATTCAACTTCCGTAAAAAATTTTTGACTTTCCTTCATCCATACTTTCGTGAAAAATACCTGAACTTTCATCTAACATCATCTAAAATCCATCTTCGAAAAATATTTCTCAAGGCAGGAAGAATAGAAATATCGGATTGCAAATCTTTTCGAAGGATAATACTTTTTGGTTGTCAGAATCAAAAAAAAGTTCGTCGAACTTTCCATCGATACTACTCAAAATGACAAATTCAAAGAAAAATCCCTTATTAATTTTTTAGTCAGGTATCAGCAAAGAATCTGAACAGAGTCTTTTGATAAGGCGCTTAAGTTTATTTTACCTTTACAAATGCGAAAGTAGTGGACAAGGAATTTCTCTTCTTATGGCTTTATTAAAAGTAAATACCGTGGAAAGCTGAACGCAGTTCTAGATTTAATACCGTATTATTAAGTTCGTTTTAAAAAGTATAACCCTCAAAACAACCTCAAGGTGGTCAAGTATTTACTAAGCATAAAAACTTTGTTGTACGTTTCGTAAATATAAATCTGAAAATATAAAAACAGATAATTGCTTTTAGCTATTGATAAATTAAGGAAAACAAATATAACATACTGATTAAGAAAACAAATACAACACACTGCTTAATATAGATTTTTATGCGATACGAAATACCAACTGTATAATGCATTTGAACTCTTGACAGTAAATGACTAATGAGGAGCGAAGTCGTATTTGTCTTAATATTACGCTCCTTTTCGTGTTCCACTGTCGATATATTTATTTACAGCCGCAGTTAAATCAATCATACGCATATTGCTATTGTGAAGAAAATATTTTCTGGAAAAAAAAAAAAAACTGAAAGCTTAGACTTTCTCCCTCCTTCCTGCATGCCTCCGTGGTGTAACGCTTAGCACACTCGGAGCGTATTCGAGAGGTCCAGGTTCAAGTCCCGGCGAGGGCATTTCTAATTTTTCATGTCTCCTGCTTTCAAATAACCTAACTTCTCTACAGTGGCGTCAGAACTAAAAGGTGGTGGATGATGATTCTTCACCACCAGGATTTGGCGATTGGGTCCCCTAATCCCCAGTCACCCTTTAAAAGGGAGAATATAAAAGGTATGTTCTCTCTCCTTGCATGCTCTCCCCTTAGTGCATCTTTAAGTTCTACGTTAAGTTCGGAAAAAAACCCTAGTGGTACATGCTTAAGCAAGCATATGCGGGCGAGGAGGCACTTTCAAGAAGTCGTGCTTTCGAATGGCATAAAAGTTTTCGTGAAGGCAGAGATTCGGCGCAAGACGATCCCAGAACTAGTCGCCCGTCTATTGCACATACCGATACAAACGGAGAGCGTGTAAGGCAGTTACTGCAAGACCATCGTGTAACTGTGCGTATAATATCAGAAGAACGGAACTTGAATCGTGATGTGTGTCATAAGATTTTACGCGAAGATTTCGGGAAACGGAAACTTAATGCAAGAATCGTCTCTCACTCACTAACAGATGAACAAAAAGAGGAAAGACGAAGAATTTCTACTGAATTACTGGATGGAGCGAGACGTGATTCCACATTTGCGTCAAAGATTAGTGTGATTTTTTTCTTGTTTCCGTGAGTGAAAAGGTGATTGAAAGGAAACCTTCATCACGATTATTGCAGACATCCAACGGGCTGCGACAAATGAACTAGCGAACATCGCAGTTGATGATCTCCCTGCTTATTTCCATGATCTCCAGAAACGCTGGCAATTACGGTGTAGGTAGCTAACGGGACTACTTTGATAGCAGATAGGATCATTACTTGGTAAATGCAATTTTCTATTTTTTACGACATTTGTCATGGAACTTTTATGACAAAAGATGCATCTTATATATATATTTGGGTTTACAGAGCTAAGAGTCGCAAATAACCTATCAGTAACGTAAAATTACGAGTAATTACATGGAAATTTAATTCAAGTTACTAAGGACTTACTTCTTGAATTGTAGAGCGACCATTCACACCGGCTACGGACTGTAATGTTGCTCCATTAGGAGGCGAGGAACCAGGAGTGCTATCACATTTACTACCATCAACTGTTGGAAGAGAGGGAAAAAAAAAAAAATACATGCATAAATCTGTTTTTTAAATATTTTTTTTAAATCAGTTAAAACTACTTTTTATAGGATATCAAGAGAAAATCCCAATTTGCATTACTTTGCCGATAAAACAGAATAACCGTTTTCTTTTAAAACCAGTGACTAAAACATTTTGAAAGAGCCTGTTGCTTCAAAAACGTAAGGCTGAACGTCTTCATCCAGATTTACGAACAATTTTATTTATATACTTTCCTCCCCCTTTTCTTTTTTTTATTGGTTTATTCTTTCCACTACTGTTCCTTAAAAGCTCACCAGGATTCTGAAAAAAAAAAAAAAAAAAAAAAAAAAAAAAAAAAAAAAAAAACAAACCCAATAAGACGGTCCAGAGATATTTATTAAAAAAAACTACCCCCTTCCTTTGCTTGAACTAATAATAAAACATTACGTCTTTGTTTCTCCTTGACAAGTTATTTCCTTATTTTTCTATAATTTCTTGTTTACCTAAAAACTAAGATGAAAAACTGGTGCTTTCAGTAAAGGAAACAAAAGTTTTATGGAAAATGTATCTTTTTTCAAAGACGTCTAATCTTTTTATAGGCTAGCCAACAATAGTAATTTCGAATAAAAATGAATCATACACGACGTGCGTAACAGTAATTTAGTTAAAAATTACTTACCAAAGAAACTACCCCAAATTCAAAAAGTATCATATCAAAGAGCAGAAAGAGACTTTTATTGCCTAAATAACCCTTGTTGCTTGCACAAACCAGGACCAGTAACCAAGCAATAAATAGGTTAATGAGTGGCAAGGCTACTAGTACTCCTTTTGGGCTGTTACATTTTTCTTGGGATATTTCATGAAGCCGACTGGAAATTTCAGTTTTCGGCTATGGATCCATGAAGAAAAAATTATGTTCTTGCTGGTATATAATATCATCTTGAGCTATTATTTGGTGGACGGATTTAATTCCTTTATCTTTAATTCCAAACAGGGTTATGTCCTCACAGGCAGAATTCAGTTCGTTAGTTTTAAAGCTCAAGGAAAAATTATATTTTCTTGGAAAGTCTAATCCGAGTATGCAAGGATCCGTAATATTTGCAGAATATGCCGTATGATGTTAGGCGGCACTTCCAAACGCCACGTTAACGTTCAACTTTCCATCGATGTCGATTTTATCCCCGGACACAGTCTGGGGGGTAACGCAGGGTGGCATCCCAGATGAGTTTACCTTCCAATTGTTGGGCCACATCTTTTCGAATGATGATAACACTGGCTCCTGTATCGATGGTCAGAATGCAGAAAACTCCATTCACAAGTCCCCTGATAAAGTTTCCATTATTGCCGCCACTTATCGCAGAAATCTGAAACGCTTTAAAATAGGGCTTTCCATTATCTTGCAACCTCAGCTCCGCGAGATGGCCACTGATCAGTTTCTTTCCTTACTGAGAGCGGTCTTAGCTTATGTACGTGCCTTGGGATGTTCTGGAGTTCCTTCGTTACGTGGCCTTCCGCACTGCAGTTCCAATAATTTAGGATCGGTTTGTTACCACTCCTAATCCTCCTCAAGGTATTGACTTGCTTGTTTAAGTCGTCTAGACGAGGAGTCAGTTGATCGACTGGCTCCTGGACTCGAGCAGCTCTGATTGATCGTCGGTCTCTGAGAATTGCTTGCTGGGTAGCCTTGAATTTCATGGCATACACTAAAGCATTTTTTAAATCATTTACAGCATTTTTTAAATCATTTACACCCGCCATTCTCAGAGCTTTCTGTATGTCAGGATGAAGGCGCCTATCGATGAAGTACTGCAGGGACAATTATTTCCTTGTTTCTGTTTAACCTTTCGAAAAAATGACAGTCAGCCTTTCAACATCTGTGACGAGGTCCTGGAGTCTTTCCGTAGGCTTCTGTTGGAGAGATATTAGCTGAAGCCTGATAGCTGATAGCCTGAAGCCGGATAGCTTAAGCCTGATTAATAGCTGAATTAGCTGAAGCCTGATATTAACTGTGATGTACGTGCGAGTAACACGTGCATACGAAAATATCCCTAACATTAACTAGGAAAGCCGAAATCTTAGTTAAGATAGACATGTTACAATTAATAATCAAATTTAATAAGGAAAAGTAACAGTTGCCGGGTACATTATAACGGCTTAAGAAATTCAGAGCACAGTACAGATGCGAGTACACAAGTTCACATATCTCGGCGAAGCAGAGACGCACACATTTTTTGAAGTAGTTCCCCTTGACTGCCGGGGAAAAAAATTCTTCTCTCCCCGTCAGCCTGTAGGTTTGCCAAACGGGTTTACTGTTTCGCCAATTGGCGCTTTTCTGTACAGTTTTTAAAGTCCGTATCGCCTGTTTGGCGCTGCCGCTGCATACTCCCTCCGCAGTGTCAACGAAATGTGACATACCGAATGCGGGGGTCGGATTAATCGTCCAGAACGGGTGATACAATTGTCCGAAGTTTTTTTCACACTCTTGGAAGCAACTTGAGAAAGAGTCCATGGTTACAAAAGCGGGTTTCAGTCTATCTATGGAGATCGTTTGCTTAGTCCCTTTTATTTCGAGATCAAACGTTTTATCTCGTCTTTCTAGCACCTTAAATGGTCCATCATAAGGAGTTTGAAGTGGTTTTCTAACTCCGTCGTGTCGAACAAACACATATGTGGACTTGTGAAGGCGTGGATGAATGAAACATGTTCGCTGGCCGTGGCTAGAAGTCGTGGTCGGGCGGACACTGGCAAAGTGAGATTTTAAATCCTCCACAAACTGTTTGGGGGACGCATCCGAAGGTGTCGGATTGAAAAAATTCTCCTGGGAGACGGATAGTCTTTCCATACACCAGTTCAGAAGTGGTTGCTCCTATGTCCTCTTTGAGAGCGGCGCGGAAACCCATCAGCAGCGTTGGAAGGGCAGCCACCCAGTCACTGGTATCGTGCGCTTTTAAGGCAGCTTTCAAAGGACGGTGGAATTCCTCGATCAGTCCATTCGCCTGTGGGGGTGGTACGGAGACGTCCTGATCCTCTTGATTCCCAATAATTGGGAAAGGGCTCGAAATAAGCCGCTTTCAAACTGTCGCCCTTGGTCGGTAGTAATAACAGTCGGACAACCAAATCGAGTAATCCAGTGGTCATAGAAAGCCTGTGCTACTGTGCGTGCTGTTATGTCTGGTATGGGTACTGCTTCGGGCCATCTAGTAAATCTATCTATCATAGTTAGACAGTAATAATTATTTTGAGAAGGAGGTAGGGGACCAACAAGGTCAAGGTGGACGTGATCAAACCTCTGTGATTGGTCTGGAAACTTCATTAACGGGGTTCTAGTATGCCTGCTTACTTTTGCTTTCTGGCACGGAATGCACTGCCGTGCCCATTTCGCGCAATCTTTGCGGATGGAAGACCAAACAAACCGTGAACATACTAACTTTGTTGATGCGCGAATGCCGGGGTGAGACAAATTGTGCAAGGTGGCAAAAACTTTCTCACGGAATGCCGGAGGAAAGGAATGTAAGGACGGGCGTTACCTGTTGACACATCGCAATATATCGGTAAAGCTACAATTCGGTAAGGTAATTTTTTTGAGATGTAGAACTTTTGACTCTTTAAGCAATGTTTGTAATTCTGGGTCGATTTCTTGCATTTTAGCGATTTCCTCATAGTCGATAGGGTTAGGCATGCTTATTGCTTCTATACGCGAAAGTACGTCGGCAGCGATATTCTCCGAACCTTTTATATGGCGAATTTCAGTGGTGAATTGTGAGATAAAGTCTAACTGCCTAGCCTGGACGAGGTGAACACTTATCCAAACGCTGTCGGAATGCATACGTGAGCGGTTTGTGATCGGTGATTAAAGAAAAGTTCCGTGCTTCCAACATATGCTTAAAATGCCTAATAGCAGCATAAGCTGCCAATAGCTCTCGATCATACGCACTATAGTTCCTTTCCGCCTGCGAAAGCTTTCGTGAGAAAAATGCGAGAGGCTGTAAATTTCTATCAACTATTTGTGATAGCGTTCCACCGATCGCGAAGTCTGACGCATCAACCTGTGAAAACCAACTGGGCATCTTTCTTCGGGTGTGCCAAAAGAACAGCATTAGCGATTAGCTGTTTGCACTTTTGAAATTCACTCCGCGCTTCCTCAGACAAATTCAGGATTGTCTTATCATTTTTCTTAGCCCCTTTTAAATACGAAGTTAAATGTATTTGATTCTGGGCTACGTTGGGTAAAAATCGACGGTAAAAAAAAATTAAAAATCCTAAAAATCTCTGCAAATCTTTTACCGTTTTAGGAAGTGGGTAGTTAAGTATCGGTTCCACTTTGTTCGTCAGAGGCTTGGTACCATCTTTATTGATTATATGGCCTAAAAAAGATATTTCCGGAACGCCGAAAACACATTTCGAAGCGTTAATTGTCAATCCATATGAAGTTAATCTTTCAAAAACAGTACGTAGGTGAGATTTATGCTCATCTTCCGTATCACTAAATATCAAAATATCATCTAAGTAGACGTAGGCGAATTTTAGATCTCCAAGAATTTCGTTCATAAAACCTTTGAAAGGTTTGAGCTGCTCCGCACAGTCCGAAATTTAAAAACGGAAAATTCGAAAGACCAAATGGGGTGCAAACTGCAGTTTTCGGTATATGATCTGGATGGACTGGTATATGATGATATGCCCGAACGATATCAATTTTTGAAAAAATTGTCTTTCCGCTAAGCGTATTATTAAAGTCTTGTAAATGCGGGATAGGGTATCTGTCGGGTTCGGTGCACGCGTTTAGTTTTCGGTAGTCTCCTACTGGCCGTATGTCGCCCGAACTTTTAGAAACTACATGAAGAGGTGATGACCATGCTGATTTTGATGGTCTACAAATACCTTGATCTATCATAAATTGAAATTCTTTTTTTACTGCTTCGTATAACTTAGGGCTTAACCTACGCGGTTTACTGTGCACAGGAGGACCGTTTGTTTCGATGTAATGAACCGTACTATGCTT